AGTGTCCAAAAGCACAGACAGTGGTGCCTGTTCTCAATGTTCATGTAGTGTCCTCAAATCTCCACTTCTCTCCTTGATACTGTGGCCCATCACATACATGCTTAAATGCATTGTACAGTTAAGGAGCAGGTTCCTTGGCTGCAGCGAGCAAGAGTAAGGTGTAGGGTCCCTGCTGGCATTTTAATGACACGAGGATAGCAGTGTTGTGGGTCCTGTTCCCTGCCACACTGGGTAATGTTGGGATTTTGTTGGAAGTCCTCACTCTTTCTGAGTCCATCCCCACACCACACTACTGTCTGCTGTGGCTGCTGCGTATCTGTACATGAGCAGCCCAATGCAGAGGCAGATGGAAATGACTGATTTGTCCTGTTCAAGGCAGGGCAGCTTCTGCTATATCTTGAGTTTCTGCTCTCTCTGCTGATGACTGCTAATCGGTTTAAGCTAAGCATGTAGCATTCAGATGAATACAGTTAGGTGTGATGGACCCCATACTTAGCACTGAATTTGGATGAGATCTTGGCTTTTGCTTGCAGCACCTCTGTTGTAGCATCTATCAGTGTGGGATATTTTTGGTTTTTTCTCTTGTTTTCCCTTTAGCTTTCCATTCTCCCTGCTTTCATTCACTTCCAGGTCAAATGATTATCAGATTTCATGATGAAGTATCCTTTTATCCTGTAATTATATTGAGCCTGCTCTTGGATTTTTTTCTTCCTGATGGCTTCATCTTTTAAGCAATACATCATGAAAACACCTTGCTGTAATGATGTATTACACTAATAATACAGTAATACCTCACTGGAGTGACAGAACTATGGTGATATATTAACGTGATAGAAAGCACTATAATACTATAAAACTTAAGATAATGTTCACCCAGCAGAGCATTTCATTTAATTATAGGATAAAATATGTTTTTCCCATTTAAGCATCAGAACTTGGGGACAAAACCATCAATACTGAGATCATCCGGGACACTGCAGTGTCAGGGGTGACAAAATAGCACATCTGAATAAATTGTGTTAAAAAGAAAACACTGTAAGCTTTACTTATGATTGCTAATTCATGGTCTGCTCAGTGCAGAAAGGAAGCTAAACAACAGTAAATTATTTTCCAATAGAGTCAATGAAGGTCATCAAGGCTTTTATTTCCCAGGTGCTAAGATGTCTAATTAACTTTCTCCCATCCCTGAGATGCAGCCAGCCAGAAACAATCATCAAAGAAGATGTATTGTTGGTACAAGTTTGCCGATGGGAGACCAGCCCGAGCGATGCAGCAGGCACATGTGCAGCTGTGCACCCCTCCACTCTCCTGGCATCAGCAGGGACTGCGGGTCCCCCTGGGGCAAAGCAGCCCCCCCGAGTGGTACCTGAAGGTGGGGGACTTTGCAAGATGCAGTTTTACCTGGAAAGGTGTTTGTAAGAGGCTGTGGGTATGAATGCATATTTCTCTCTGGGGATGTGGCTTTGGGCCACTTACACTGATTAAGGGGTTTAAGACCTCATCAGTATTAACCACTTTTAAACAGGTAACTTGTTAATATTTTCAAACAGTTTTTCTCTGGTCCTTCCTCTTGGTCTTTCCATTTGTTTCTTGTCCTGTGCTGGGCTGGGTAATTCCTTCAGGCACTTCCTCAGGCTGGTACCTCCATGTTTGTCTTTTTCCTGCTGGATTGGCTGTATCCTTCACTGTTCATGGCTTAGTCTGTTTTCTGGAGGCTGACAAACCTGCTTAGCAGGCAACATGACGTAGGACAGATCACTTTAAAGGAAAACATATTTTTAGGGCAAGTAGAGCAGAATTTAAACTCACATGACTTCGGTGATTTGCCTTTCCACAAAACCAGGAAAACATGGGTTTGTAACATTAAATACCACTGGATTTAACAGGTTATATGACAGAGGCTGTCATTAACTTCCTGTGACTAGACACTTTGGCAAAACCTCCTTCTTCATCAATGAAATAATTTTGCTTGAAAAAAGACAAACTTTTATTATCTTTAAGCACCATGATGACCATGTGAGGAAATCATTGGTGACTGCAAAGTAGCCATGGGATCTCCAAGGGAGCAGCCTTGTTCAGACACTTGCTGATGTAGGCAACATTTTTGGGGTGGTTGGCAATGAAAGAATCAAGAACAGGAGGGACAATCCTTATGAAACATATGAGAGGAGAAAACCAATGTGGTCCAACAGGAAAACATTTGGAAAACGTCTCGAGTGTCACCTCTGCTCTGTATTTTCTCCCCTTGTATCGCTCAAGAATGACCCATCAGCAGCAGGATTGGTGCTTCACTGCAGGACTCCATTTACCCCAGTGCTTCACCCCCTGCTACCACCTTGTGGTTGAGACCCCTGGCTGCTGTGGCGGGCTCACTCTGGAGAGGAGCAAAATAACAAAAGAAGAATTAAGGCATCAAAGGCAAAATATCCCAAAAGACAAAAAATTCTGTAAATGTCTTGGGACCACAGTGGAGCTTGCACTTGCAAATTAGGTGGGATTTTTTGGGAATAATCACTCTCAGGTTTGATGGTTGGACAGGCTGGAAGGCTTAGAATGGCTGCTGCTGAGCCTCTGCTGTACTCGGCAGAGTAGAGCAGGCATTAGGCAGTGTGCTAGATCCAGACGTGTTCAGGGCTTTATTTATCTGGCTATTATACAAAGTAGATGACACATCTAATAGATGCACATAATGCATTTTTCATAATACCCGTGTTCGTTTTTCAGCTCGTTTTGTCTCCCTCCAGCCCCCACCCCGCTCCTTCCTCGGGAAAGATTTGATTTTTGCTCTACTTATTTTTCCCACCACATTAGGCGGTAACACGTAAGAGCAGAAATCATGTTGTCTTGTGGGCATTAGGCCAACTGTCTGAAGACAAGCTGCCAAACATCATAAAAAAAGAAAGTGTCTAGCACACTAATTATGTACTTGGTAGGAAACATTTCGGAAAGAGGAGAAGGAGAGTAACTTGCGCTGCCCATTTGGGACCTCTGGATGATTTCTTCTGTCTGTCATGGAGAAGGCTTGTCTTTTTTGTCTTTTACTTATATAACTCATTCTTTTTGCAAGGCAAGTGGCCTCATTCTCTGTCTTGGTGCTCAAATACTAATTGAGATGAGTTGCGTCGTTAAAAACACACTGTCAGGCTGAGAGCACCATCTCACTTGAGGCTTGGCTCATCAAAACATCAAACTGCTAAAACCAAATAATGTGAATCTGAGCCTTCAGCTGGGCTGGAGGTGCCCGGGGGGTCATTCCCAGGTTACTCCAGCCTCGTGCACAGTGCAGCTCCCTTGCTGGGAGCCTGGCACGGTGTGAGCTGAGCTCAGTGGTGGATAGGATCCCCATCCTGCAGTCAGGCACCCTGCGCCTGGGGGAGACGGTGAATTAGTGGGAGGAAGAGGTGATGGTTATGACTTTAAGCTCTGCAGGCTTCCCTCCTTTCCACCCCTGCCTGCTGTGCCAGCACAGCAGTTTGGAGGGGTACTTACTGTAAAGCTAAAAAGACATGTACTGTTCTACACCATCTTGCAAAGGGCTTTTGGGGGCAGAAGAGCAGATCCTGCAGCGGGGGATGGGATGGGGCAGCTTTGCCTGACTCTGGGATCAACTGTATGGCGTGGGCTGGTGCAGTTGAATCTGGGTGAATACATTTGAGAAATGGACCTCGGTGAGATGTAAAGTAGCAGAGGTCTTGCTTTGATACACAAGACATTGGCTACAAGTGTAACTCCACCAGCAGCTGGGAGCAAAGCACACCAGGCACCCCTCCTAAGGAAGACAGGCAGCACGGGGGCCAGCCGGAGGATTCAGCGCACCTATACCTGCAACCAGCATCACTGAGGGAAGGCAAAATCGGTTTCAAACACCATAACTGTATCTGTGGTTGCTAGCTGGAGTTGGACCCTGTTACATTGTTTTAACTTGATTTTCAATGTTTAATTATTGTAACCAAGATAACCTGAACTCCCAGTGTGATTTACTGTCTCTTTTTAAACATCTGGGTCACAGTTAATGCTCAGTTAATTAACGTGCTGAATACTCCTTATTTGTCTGCTAGATAATGGATTGATTCATAATTTAAATAAGCAGCTGTATATACCTTTCCCTTGAACTATAAAAGGCAGGCTGCTGTCATTCATCTCTTTTCACTCCTGAGTTTAAATATGTTTAGGGAAATATTTTGGTGGGATTCCTTAAACACTGCAAATGGAAGAGCCCTTTGTATGTGGCCCCGCCACGGCAGCGGGGCTGTCTTGATGCTGTCTCAGTGCCAGCTGTGCACTGCCTGCCCAACACCCCTGAGAGCCATCAGCATTGCCCAATGCCACCAGCCTGCATCTCCTTGGCAGCCAAGACAGGTCCCTGGGAGCAGTGGGCGGTCGGATGCAGGGGGTATTACATGGGTTAGCGCAATCCTGAGCCTTTGCTTCAGTGCTGAACCAGGGGGGAGATTTAGGCTTGCATCCCCGGGGAACAGGGCCAATTATATATTGGCCCTCTTTGGCTGACGTTGCTGCTGGCTGCTGTTGGAGTTGCTGGAGGGCTGTGCCAGACACACCAGCAGCATTGTTCACAGGCCAAAGCAAGGCTGGCTTACCAAGCGTGTGAGAAGCCACAGGCTGGTCCAGTGTGGCAGGCTAAGCCAGGTGGCTCTGGCTGAAAACGAGGGGAAATCATGCATTGCCCCAGACTACAGAGTGTTCAGGCTCAAAGGAGGCTGGAGGAGTCTGCCCCATGATGGGTTTAAGGCTCAGACTTATTCTTATCCCTTTCCTGTGCCCCAGCTCCTCACCTGCATCTGCAAAAAAACCCCCAAAACAACAAGAAAAAAAGGCTGGAGAAGGTTGGGTGTTTTTCCTCTTGGCAGTTCTACTTTCTCTGTGCACCATCCTCACAGTTTTTTTCCTGCGGCTCTGCAAACTTGTCCTTTCCTCGACCGCTTTCTAATGATGCTCCAAAGGTTCTGATGGTCTTTTTCCTCTCCTTCCCTGCCCCCCAGCTTGCACGCTACACCAAGGAGGGATTCCTTCATCTCGGCGCCCTTGGGACCACAACTCTTCTACCTGATACCCGCTGCCTGGTGGATAATGTGAAAAGCCGCTTCCCTCAGCTCCTCGATTGTGAAAAGGTCAAGAGCAGCCTCCATAAGCGCTGGAATTTCATACAGGTTTGTTATGGATCTGCCATTGGTGCTGCCTCTCTGCTTCCCAAACCATGGGCTGTGGCACATCATCTCTTTGGCATGAGACAGTGTGGGACGAAGATGAAGTGGTCCCATGCATTAGCAGGTGCCAGGTCCTAGGACAGAGGGAAGAGGTTAAGAGGGCTCAGGGCACGGACAGTATTTTACGACAATTTCCAGGAGAAGTTTCCCTTTCTGATACCTTCAAATGTATGTAATGTGCCCTGCTGATGACTTCCAGATTTCTTTGTTTCTTATAGATAATCTATGGTGAAATACATGAAAACATGGTACTTTTGTCCGAAAGCAGAGTGTAAATAATATACATTCTACAGAAGTGTCACATTTTCCTAACACAGGGGCGCAGCCATGCTATTTAAAGGTTACAGATGTCCTTTCATTACTGACGTGTTAGGGATCCATGTTGTCAGTGATAAAGGTTGCTCATTCAATTCACATTGATTACTTCAGGAATTATTTTGTTGTTTGAATTGCATTACCGCCCAGCTAAGTGCTGTGCGCTTTCCAGCAATGCACAAGGACACAGCTGCACTCCTGGGCAGTGCATGGTCCTGGTTTGCTTCACAGGCAACCCCATGTCTTTAATTTTTTTAATATTTTCCCCATATCCCTTAATTTTAGAATGGCGCCATCCTGAACAAGGGAACGGGACGATGCTTGGAAGTGGAGAACAGGGGAATAGCTGGCATTGATCTGATTCTTCGCAGCTGCACAGGACAAAGGTGGACGATTAAAAATTTCATCAAGTAAAGGGTGGAAGAGTCAGAGGAGAATAACTTGAAACACAGGTGACTTGGACTGATCTGACTGGACTCCTTTGGAAAGGACGAAATACCAAAACAGAGCTTTATTCATGTTATTAGGAGAGGACATGGGGGAAATGGGCATTTGTGTCTTTTTATTTTTATTGTATATTAGTCTCCCACAGCTGATTCCAACTGTGTGAAATTGGGTCAGAACTGCTATTTTCTTTTGGCAAGCACTCTAAAAGGTACCACTTATTTCTGCTGGAATGACTGTAATAAGCTCATGCAGTCTTGTGAGCATTTTACTGACAGGGAATTGTTGTTTTCCCAGACAACCTCAAGCTCTCCCAAAGGGCCAGGTAGGTTTGCACCGCGATCAAGAGTCAAGAGACCCTGGATATACCTGCCTGGAAAGCATGAAAACTTGCATGCTTGTCAGAGGAAAAGGTTGTCAAATGAGCTGAGTTTGAAAGATGTGGTGTTTTGCTAGGTCCTCTCTCTCTTTTCCCTTTGTTGTCCCTGCATCCAGCAGCCCCTTTCTTGAGTGTGGGAGAGGCAAGGCTCTCAGAGACACCCCAGTAGCCTCCCATGGATCACAGATGTCATTAAACAAAATCCTATTGAATAAAAATACTGATCTCCCATTGCCCCCTCTCCATCGCCCATGTGCTGCTACACAAGCCAGCCCCATGCAGCACCAGTCCTTCCCATGGAGACCCCAAATGGGTTCCCCTTGGAAAACACCTTGTATGTATGCCTGCCTGTTTGGGCAGTTGCCTGCCCTTTTGGGTATCGGTCGGACTCGTGTGGTGAGGAGGGCTGGTGTGATGCTTCCTTCCCTGTAGGAGCCTGGGGAGCTGCAGATCCATCTTGCCCTCCCAGCAGAGTTGCCGGCCTGGCACTGTCCCATTGGAGACCCACCTTTACCTTTTTTTTCCTCTTGTAGAAGGGAGAATGGATGTGCTTGTGTGTGCAACAGGCTGAGACCAGGTAACGTGCGAGAAAGTCCCACTCGGGCTTTCCTCCCGTGGAGGCTATAGGGTTTATTTTTAAGGCATTCTTGGTCTGACGAAGACCTTGATAATGGTAGTCTCCATAAGTTTGTAGTGGTGTATTTCTCTTCCTGAGGCTCAAGCACACCTATCCTGCCTGGTCAGTGTGAGACTGTGGTCAAGGTCCGCCCCAAACAGCATGCGTTGCTGCAGTCCTTCATGGGCAATGGTGAATTAAGGAAGGGAGAGGGAGGTCAAGAGACCAATAAATGGCGGTTTGGCTGAAATTCTTGACCTTGAAAGTCACTTGAGGCTTGTTAATACAGTGGGGTGATTTCACCTGCTTTTTTCGGCCCACAGTAATCTTGGCTACCAAATCTACCCAGCTGTCGTGTGAGACCATTGTTTTGGGGTCCTGATGTCTGGCTAACTGGCAAAGGGAAATGCGTTCTTGCAAAGTTGTTTTACATGGATGCTAGACTAATGGGTGGATACAGGCTTCACTCGGTGGAGAGAAGCCAGCCCATCTCCTGTCCTCCTCATGGAATAATACTCTTTCTGGTTGCCCTCTGGCTAGGGTGTGCTAAAATATATTAATATATGAGATATACATGTAGATATGTTTCCCAAAGATGGGATGCACACAGAGTTGTTTGCTGCAGAGCACTCATGCCTGTCTTCCATTTGCATCAGGATGAAGCTACCTGGATGTTTAATGAGTTTAATTTTCAGTGCCATGCAGCAGGTTTATAACTGATGTTTTAGTAATTTATTGAACAGAAGCAGATATATTTCAATGTTCCTTCTACAGCAATGAGCATCACATAGGACTGATTGTTCATTTAGGCTTGACAAGACTTCCTCATCCATTGGGGTTGTTTCTGATTTTTTTCCCTTGCCTTCCTTAAGTAAAACCTCTTAGTTGTCCTGAATTGTAAAGTAGGGAGTCAATGTAGAATTTTGCTCTCTTATTCGCTGTTGCATCATCTCTTGTGTAATAAATTTCAGCACTTACAGAACCAACATGAAAACAACGTCTTTAGATGCATGATGTATTTTCCCTTGCATTTGTTGCTGCCTCCTAAGAAAAGCAATATACTGATGAAGTGGACTCCAGAAAGTCTCGGGGATGTGAGACTTCACAGCTAATGGTCAAAATGGTAAAATGCCCTTTAACTGAGCAATCAGTTTGCTGTCAGTCATCAGGGGAAGCCACATATTGTTTAGTGTTGGCAAAAGACTGCATGTTTCAGGATAAACAACCAAAAAGCCCTTGGACATTGCCTGTGCTATATTTCATAGTTCCCAGTTCAGCTCTAGTCCTGCCAGTGCACAGGGCGCCAACAGATGGGCTTTGTCAGATTTAATCGTGGTGTTATAAGGTGTCACCGCCCCCAGCCTTCCATCTGCTTCAGCTGCTGGAGGTTTCTGTCCCCGTCACCGGCAACAGAAATGAATGTGTGGCTGCACCTCAGCTACCATAATTCACAGGATGTGCTTCAGCCACCAGGCAGGAGGGACTTGCTCTATTTAACACACCGGATTATCAGCTGAAGTCACTCTGGGACAGCAACGTGGCTCTGCTCGGGAGGCAGCAGCCCCTGGCAGAAGCAGGGTGCACCACCGAGCAACTCCAGCTGCCTGGTAGCACTTGTGCTGCCTGTGATGTACATGCACTTGGGAGCTTGCCCTCAGGTGACACAAGACGACCTGGCGATGGGGATCCTGCTGGTGATGGGCTTTTTTGATCCTTTTAAAAAATTAAGGTTCAGATATGTGTTTCCTTTATGCTCCATAAAGAAAGCAAATGTCTGAATATCCAAAAGGAAGGGGGTGGTGGAAATGAACACTTTGCTCCAGGACCCTCAGGTTGGGCAGAAACTTTGTTGAGGTGGTTTACCCATTCTCACTTGTGTAAGTAGAGTGCTTTAAAATGACTGAAAAGAAGCAGCATGAGTAGAATCAGGATTAAAAGTGAGAATTTAATCTGCTGTGTCCGTGTAACTGAAGTTCTGTTCTGACATTGGTTTGTGACATGCAGAGATGATTGCCAAGGCGATGACCTGAGGTCTGCACCCTCCTAAACCATAGAAATCTGTCTTAGAAATCTGGGTCTAAATGTTGCGTCTTGCGCTTATCTCTAATAATATGTTAATTGCTTTAAAAAGTGATATCGAAGTGGTTCTTATTAAATATATGATTTGAGCCTTGCCTCTTGAGTGATTTTAAGAAGATTCACTACTGATGAGGTACAGAGGCAGTCATTCTTCTCTGTTACTTATTTAATAGAAAAGTGCTGCTGTTTTAATGGAACTTCCATTTTTAAAAGAAATGGAAATGAAGGAGAAATCAAGAGAGATGGCCGATGCAGATTAACCTCCCATTTCATCCATCCCTCCCGGCTGCTACTCACCAAGATAACGGAGCTACCTTCAAAAAGCTGAAAAGAGATGTTACATGGTAAAAAAGCATCGCTTGCAAATGCATTCCTGTACCCAGGGCGGGTGTTTCTAAATGTAACCTGAAGCTTGGAGCACTCCTTAGACCCACTTTCTTACATCCATATTATCCTAAAAAACAGGTTGGCCAGTGATGTGGTGTCCCTGTAAGGACAGCAAGGTATGGGTAGGTATATGCCCATGCAAGAGGGAAGTATATCTGTGGGTACACCGTATAATAAGGGCACTGTTGCAGTTCTCCTGATGGGAGCAGCAGCTCTCCCACCCAAGCTGAGGACACAGCAGGCTGTTAGCATAAGTCCAGGTAAGTGTAGCCTCCAACATTGGGGCCTGTTTGTGCAGAGCGTGGTAAATAGGAGCTCCATCATGGAGTGTCCCATTTGCAGCCACAGCTCTCTTGAAGGATGACACAAGATGGAAATCTGTGCTCTTGTGTGCATTTTACACACTCAAGACTTTCTCAGGGGAAAGGTCCAGGTTAGAGAACGGTATGATCCAATGTGCTTTATGGCAGATTGAAGTGAACAGCGAGCTCTTACTCTTTTGAAGCCTGTAGGAGGACCTTTGTGCTGCCCAGGGCAGAGCGCCAAACTTTCAGAAAGTTCCCTCTAAGCCCTCAAATGAAGTTAAACTGTCATTTTGAAGTCAAAAGTTTAGCTCTTGGACTCCCAATAGGAAAGCCTCTCTGCTTGATCACTGAGCAATTTGGGCAGTCATCCACTGCTAATAGATACAGATTTAAGCACTCCGCCATGCAGTGTGAAATTAGGCATTTTGAAATCTCTGCAGTTCGCCTTTGCAGATGAGAAGCTGTCTTGCATTGGTTTGGGGAGTGGGAAAAGCCTATATGACGATTAGGAATCTCAGCTGGATTTCCAAGGACGTTGGGATGAAGTATTAAAGGGCTTTTCCCTGTCACTGCTG